TGTTCTTTATATTATTCACAAAAAGAAATAATGAGATAGGACAACACTATACATGAAAACTGTCATACATTTCACAGGTAGTCAAATAAATGTAAATTCATGTAACCATAAGATACCACTTTTCATCTACTGCCAGTAAAAAAGACCTAAAATACTCAAAGCTGAGGGGAGTGTAGGAAAGTTCTACACTGTCATGTTGATGGTCACAATGTAAACTGATACAATTTTTCTGAAGCACAATTTGTCAATCTTTAACAAAAACTCTATAAATATGTGCAAACTCTTTACCTAGAAATTCTACATCAACAAATTTAACCTGAGAAAATAATCATAAAAGTATAAAAAATATGTAATTTTAAGAATGTTCATCACATCACTGATTATAACAGAAGCAATGAGAAGAACCTAAATGTCCAGCCACATGAAAGTGATTAAATTTTGGTATATTTATACAACGGAATACTAGGTAGCCCTTATAACTGTAACACAATTAAATGTTTACTGGAAGTATATAATATATGGCACTGGATGAAAATATAACATTAGATAAAAAAGTAAACATGAAGCCATGGGGAGTATGGCCCAATTTTTGTAAAAAGGTGTATGTGTGTTTATGTATATATATATGTACAGGCCTGTATGTGTACATATTTATATGTATATGATACAAATGAAGGAAACAAAAGTCTTAAAACAGATATACCTAAATGGCATGAATAATCAGTTTGGGGGAGATTACAGGTAATTTTTTTCCCTTTTGCTTATCTGCAATAGTTTTTTAATTCTATAACAAATATGTAGGCTGCAAAGTGAATAACACTAAAATACTTACATATTAAACTTTTAAAATAAAGTACAGATTTTGAGCACTTTGAGGAGTAATTTTATTTATTTATTTATTTATTTATTTATTTATTTATTTATTTGAGACAGAGTCTTGCTCTGTCCCCCAGGCTGGAGTGCAATGGCGTGATCTCAGCTCACTGCAGCCTCTGCCTCGTGGGCAGTACTTCTCATGTCTCAGCCTCCTGAGAAGCTGGAACTACAGGTGTGAGTCACCATGCCCAGATAATTTTTATATTTTTAGTAGAGATGGGATTTTGCCACGTTGGCCAGGCTAGTCTCGAACTCCTGATCTCAAGTGATCCTCCTGTCTCAGCCTCCCAAAGTGCTGGGATTACCAGAGTGAGCAACTGCACCTCGCTGATGAGTAATTACCTATAAATTTAAAAACTAATTATCTATGAATCTAAAAGCTAATCCCCAACAAAACACAAAGCAACTTCTGGCCGGGTGTGGTGGCTCATGGTTGTAATCCTAGCACTTTGGGAGGCTGAAGTGGCTGGATCACCTGAGGTCGTCAGGAGTTCGAGACCAGCCTGGCCAACATGGCAAAACCCTGTCTCTACTAAAAATACAAAAAATAGGCCGAGTGTGGTGGCAGGCGCCATAATCCCAGCTACTCGGGAGGCTGAGGCAGGAAAATCGCTTGAACTCAGGGGGCAGAGGTTGCAGTGAGCTAAGATCGTGCCACTTCACTCCAGCCTGGGCAAAAGAGTGAACTGTTTCTCAAAAAATAAACAAACAAAAAAACAAAGCAACTTCTACCTTGAAAACAGATATCTGAATTAAAACATTAAAACATATGTCTACACTGAAAAACAAATAGGCATAAAAAGCTTTTATACTTTGAACACTAGCAGTTCATTACACTTTTCTTTTTGGCCATAATGTAGTATTCCTAGATGGAGTTCTATTAAACAGGTATTTTCTCAGAGAAATAATATTATAATTGGTGGTTAAGTACTCAATTGAAGACCTGACAACAGATGCAATGGACAATGTCACACAAGAAAAGATACCATGTAAAATGCCTTACCTACTTTGAAATAGTAAAATTGTGCTATAGGTTAAGTAAAAGGCATAAACATATAAGAAATTCAATGTCCTAAAAATTGTACTGAAATATAGCATTTGAAAAGTACTAGTACTCAACCTATTTAAAACTAGAACACTAAGTTTAATGAACGTTATGTACTCAGGTAGTAATTGTTTTGCTTGCCTTATTAGAATTTGGCAAATTCTGGAAGAAATTACTGGAAGAGCTCATCTCTGATATTTAAAAATTGGGCAGTGGAAGATAGGGTGTTCAACCTGACCAAGCCCTACTGTGAAAAAGTTCCTGCAACAAGAAGGGGCATCTCAAATCGCTCCTCTGACCTTTAAAAGCTACACTGGAGCTCTACAGTGTTTAGAAGTCCTCATAAAAGGTTCTATTTATGAGAATTTGGAAAAAATAATCTCATGAACCCAATCATGCTATGGACTAATTTTATGGTATGTATATCCACACAAATAACCATCAGTTAGCCCATCCGATGTTTTTATAAGCCTCTGCTCTTGTAAGTAATTTCCCCTGACAACTACTGCTTCCCTGGTTCATTCTTCAGAGAATTGGGAAATGCTGCAGGAATCAAAATGCATGGCTAACGTGAAAAAAAAAAAAAAAAAAAAGAGCAAAGGAGAGAAAAATACCAAGTAGCAGAGAAAAAAAACCCAAGACAACTTGAAACATGTACTATTTAAACTAACAGGACACTAGAAAGGCATGGAGATGTTACATCAAAACTATTAATAAAAGTATTTGTTTTACTTAATAGCCTTCACTACACACCAAGTTTTTTCTCCCTCGAGTAACACACCTATCTATAAAATCTGATTTCTAAAACTGATATATTAGGAGGTGATAATTTGCTTTTAAAAACTTTCCACAGGTATCTATCAAATGTGCATTTGAATTGTGGTTCTAGGTACCAAGTGTGATTTTTTTTCTCCTTAGAGATTTTCTGGTCCAACTCATTATGTGGAGGGATTCAATTATTTTCTGGTAAGATTCTTGACAGGTAGTAACTCAGTTTTTTCTTGAACACTCCTAGTAAAGGGAAGTGTGGTGTCTCAGAAGTAGAGTCACACACAAGTTGACTGTCCAACTGTGGGTCAGATTTCCCTCAGAAAAAATTGAAATCTACTTCCCTGTAACTGACACCCTCCTGCTTCTATTTTTGTCCCATCCAACCATCCTGGATAAAGTCCAACGCCTACTCACACCATAGTCCCTGAAACATTTGAGGACAGATAAAGCATTCTTCCCATGCCCTATTTTTACCAGTCAAGTTCTCCATGGCAAGTGTGTATAATTCAGTGGAAAGTACATAGCCCCTGGAGTCAGACTTCAGTAGATTCCTGGTTGTACATTCTTGGAAAACCTCTCTAAGTCCCATCTATGTTTCCTTCTCTGTGACAGGGGAACACCCTAGTCTTACTGGAGCGTTCTGGAGAAGAAATGAGTTGGCAGAGCTGATGCCCAGTAGAGTGCTCGACTCAGTGAAGAACGTCAAGAATGCGATTGACTCTCTCCCCCCCAGCTTATTCGAGCTTTGTTTAACCACACATTTCTGTCATTCAGAAATTGGATAAGCCCACACATTTTGTGAAACTGCTAATCTCAAGGAACAGATCACATCAGATTTACAAGCAGCACAATATCCTGGTCTGAGTTTTCTTCCTCCTTCCTCACTCTGTGCATCCTTTACTGTAGCGGCTGAGAAAGAAAGGTCCTTACATCCCTCGTAGTACAACAGATACTCCAGGTAACTTAAGGGCTGGTCTAAAGCAGAAAAGAAAGGTATAAGGGTCCCATCCAGTAAAGGGAGAAGATAAGTATTAGATTTACTATGGCTTTGTCATTGAAAATCTGCCAAATGCAAGCTCTTGGTGGTCACCAGTGCCACCAGCCCTGACAGCTTGAATAAAATGTATTGTGTAATGTAGGAAGCAGTATGGGCTTTGGAGCCAGGCTTTCCAGATTCAAATCCTTATACCACCATTTGCTTGATGCATAATGCTGGACAAGTTACTTAGTTCCTCTGTCCTTGGTTTCCTCATTGAGGATAATTATAGTTACTACTTTTTGCTTTGGTAACACTATCTAAGCATCAATGGAAAGGAAGGAAGAAAGGAAGAGCAGGGGCAAAAAAGAAGAGGGAGGGGAATTATAGAAAGTCATCATGAAGGTCTAGTCTTATTCTTGTTTTCTTATATTGTTTACTCCAACCTACACAATGCAAACAAGTTTTCTATCCCTGTGCATTGTGACCTTAAGTCAGGGCCAGATGAGAATTCTTTCTTGGTAGCCAAAACATAGTGTCCTCAGGGTCATTTCCTTTGCCATAGTGGAGAACAAATGCTAATAGAGATGACATGATTTAAAAACATCTGACTTATAGGCAGTAGAAAGGAATGTAAAGACTTTCTAAAGTATATAATCTTGGCTTAAATAAGTGAGAGTTCTTTCATGTTCTGATTTCACTGCACTCTTGCACATCAGATATGAACATAAATGACTTTTCATTAATTAATCAGTTTCATTAATGAACTATTATAAATACTTCTTTACTAAATTTTCTTAACATGATTTTTACGTCTCTGTGGGCCATACTTTCCATACTAGTCCATGTGTACTACATGTGAGCAGCTGAATTCTAGAGGCACCAAAACTCAAACCTCCATAGCTCGTGCTATAAACTTTGCCTGGGCAAGGCTTCCTCCTCCTTTAGCCTGATTCTTGCGCTTAGCTTGCTTGGGCTCTGGCTCCAGGCTACGTCTGATTCTCTGGGCTCTGGTACTAACCCTGGCCCAATCTTATGCCCCCATTTTCACCCATAAAACATGGTGTTTTATATTACATTAAAATGTATAACAAAGAAAGGAGATAATGAAGAGAAAAAGGAGGAGAAAAAAACAATGAAATCAGTAAAAAGTTGGGGTGGAGGAATAACCTACAATTTTTTTACAGTTTCATTTTATACACTATCAATCCTGGGAAGCTGTCTGTGACAACAGAATAGACATGCATCCCTAGAAATGTATATTTAAGAATAAGTATATGTACCTAGAAATATAATCCATATTGCTAAAAACCAATGAAAATTCATACTGACCTTAGGGGGTTTAAACGGATAGTCTGGTGAAAAGGTAATGTCAAGAAAGAACACCCCTCCTTCATAGACAGATCCTGGGGGTCCCAATATAGTTGACCTCCATTCATAAATGTTGTCTCCTTTGGGTCCAGCACTGAAATAAGACATACAAATGAAATGTGCTTAGAAATTATATAGAGGCTGGAATTTAACAAAATCTCTATTTATGATAACCAATTGAGCAATTCCATAAAAACACAAAAAGTTAATCAGTTAACTCTCTGTTAAGATTCATATTGTTATTACTTAATAAAAGAACACCAAGATCCTCTTTTGTCAATCACAACCCTAAGCCTATGGAACAAGAGTCCAAGGACCATATGCCAGAGGTAGGAACACAAATGTTTAATAAAAGCATGAAATTATTTGTGATGTCAGAGACAAAATTTCAAAGTTAGAAGGGCCTCTGGGGAATGACTAGTCTGATCCCTTTGCTAACAACTGAGAACACAAAGGAGGTTCAATGTTCATCATCCAAAGTCTCTGCTCAAATATCATATCCCATCTGAATCTTCCTTTCTTTCTTCCCACCCAAAGGACTTCCTGACCCACACATCATGAGCAATAAGGTCTGTAGATGGTAAGATGTACCATTTTGTTTTATAACTCTGTTTTATAACTACTGCTTCTTTCCACCCCCTCCAGAAGGTGCTTGAGGAACAGGTTGTACCTTGTCCTTAGTGCCTCCTAAGTCAGTATGTTGGATGATGATGGATTAATAACAAAGCAAATGAAGAAGCCACACGGCTACTAGCAGTACACATGTCTCTGAGTTTCAGAGAATTTTGCTGAAAACAATATGGCCCACGTGAGTCAAGTGAATTGTATTAGTTCTCAGGTGAAAAGAAGGGCAAAATGAGATTAGGATTTAGCTTTCCAGTGTTCTTTTTGTTTCATCAAACTATTACCTACATGTAATAATAACAGAATACTAGAAATTCTCCTCACACCCTATAACAAAGTAGGCAACCCTATTAAGAGGCTTGGGAAAGATTTTGTTGCCAATAAGGATTCAGCTTCTTTTCCCTCTTATTTTGAAATGAGTTTATATCTACAAAAAACTCATTACTAAGCAGCCATTTTATCACAAACAGCCATTCGTAATTTAAAAAACTCCATAAACTTAGCAAAAGTGGAATAGAAGGAAACTTCTTTAACCTGATAAAAGACATCTATCAAAAACCTGACATCAACTACTATATTCAATGGTAAAATATTAAAAACACTCCCTTTAAATTGATGAGTAAGACAAGAATGGCTGTTATCCCCACTTCTAATCAGTACTGTACTAGAGATCATATTTATCAAAGTATGAAAATCAGAAGGAAAAATAAAAGGTATATGGATTGAGATAGAAGAAATAAAATAGTATTTGTAGTATATATATATGGGCTTTTTTTTCCTGTGAACCTAAATACTACATATATATATGGGCTTTTTTCCCTGTGAACCTAAATACTATATATATGTATATATACACAATGTATTAAACTTAATAAAAAGAGTTTAGCGAAATTGCTAGATATAAGCTCAATATCCAAATATCAACTTCATTTCAATACACCACCAGAAAATGCAATTTTTTTTTTTTTGAGACAGGGTCTCACTATGTTGCCCAGGCTAGTCTTGGACTCCTGGGCTCAAGTCATTCTTGGGTCTCAGCCTCTCAAGTAGCTGGGTTTACAGGCACGCATCACTGGACCACAACTGGCTCCTAGAAAATGTATTTTTAAATGAGTTGCAATAGGTCTTGTAAGGAAGCTATGAATAAAGTCATAAAACATGTATAAGATCTTTATGGAGAAAATTATATAAAACTCACTGAAAAATACTCATAAGAGTTAAATAAATGGAGAGAGATACCAAGTTTATGGGTAGGGAGACCTGATATCAGATGTCAATTTCCCCAAATTGATTAATCACAATTCCAATTAAAAAGTTCAACTGCTTTTTAAAACCAAAATTTGACAAGTTGATTTACAACTTTTTTTTGGAAGCTCAAAGAAATTCCTCAAACTTTTCCACACACATATGAAAACCTGATTTATGTCAACTGATGGGACTAGGAAAAGTTTTTATATTTGAAGAACAGAGAAACTGGATTTTTACCCTCAGTAAAAAAAACTCTGTTGCAGATGGATTAAATATTTAAATGCAAAAGTCAAAATTTTAGAGTTTGACTGAAGAGAGTGACAAGGCAAGCCACAAACTGAGAGAAGATATTTGGATCATATAAAAGTGACCAAATGCTAGTGTTGAGAATATACAAGTTCCTAAGAATCAACTAAAAAAAGACTAACTCTATTAAAAAATACATAGATATTTCCAAAAAAAGGGAAATACAAATGGCCAATAATCATATGAAAAATGCTCAATATCATCAAAATCGGGGAAATGAAACTGAAAATCACAATTCAGTAATATTATTTTACAAAATGCAAAGGCAAAAATAAATGCCAGATAAAACCATGTGTTGATGAGGATGTGGAAAAACCAGAACTGCTATGTACTGCTGATGAGTATGAGTAATCACTCTGGATAAGAACATAGGCTCATCTAGTTAAGTTGAATATACAGTTGACCCCTAAACAACAGGTCTGCATTGCGTGGGTCAACTTAGATGAAGTAAATTTCAAGAAAATACACTAGAAAAATTTGAGATTTGTGACAATTTGAAAAAACTTGCTGACAAAGCACTAGCCTAGAAATATTGAAAAATTAAAAGAAAGTTAGGAATGTCATGAGTGTACAAAATATACAAAGGTATTAGTTTTTCTCATTCACTACCAGAAAATATATACCAATCTCTTATGGAAAAGCTAAAATTATCCACACAAACGATACATGATGCCATGTGCATTTAAAAGAAACGTAAGCAAACACAGAGAGTATTAAATCACAATAAAATGCATAAAAGTAACTGTGGTACATACTGTACTACTGTAATAATTTTGTAGCCACCTCCTGTTGCTATTGCAATGAACTCAGCTATTGCCAATAACTGCCTAAAATGCCTAAAATGCCATGTGACAAAAATCATCTCTGCATGAGCAGTTCATCTCTCCAGCAAATTGCATACTGCGGTAAAAACTGATCTCTCTCAGTTCTCGCCTATTTTTCATTGTGTTTGTGCAATACCGTAAATCTTAAATAACACCATGGGATCCATACGAAGGGCCACTAGTGATTCTGGAAGCGCTCCCAACAAGCAGAGAAAAGTCATGCCATTACAAGGAAAAGTTGAATTACTTGATATACACTGTAGATTGAGGTCTACAGTTGTGGTTAGCTGCCATTTCATCTTGTAAACAGATGATGTAAACTTAGGGTAACAATAAACACAGTACAATACTGTAAATGCATTTTCTCTTCCTTATGACTTTCTTAATATTTTCTTTTTTCTAGTTTACTTTATTGTAAGAATACAGCATATATACATATAACACGCAAAATATGTGTTAACTGAAATGTTTATGTTATGAGTAAGACTTCTTGTCAACAGTAGGGTATTATTAGTAGTTAAATTTGGAGAAAGTCAAAAGTTATACATGAATTTTTGATGGCACGGGGTATTGGTACCTCTAACCCCTGAGTTGCTCAAGGGTCAACTGTACACCTATTTTACAACATAGCAATTATACTCCCAGGTATATACTACAAAGAAACTTTTACATGTGTGTACCACCAGAAGACATTGAGAATGTTTATAGAAGCACTATTTATAATAGTAAAATTGGAGACAACACAAATGGCTACTGACAGAAAAATGGGTAGGAATACTATACAGCAGTGAAAATATACAGATTAACATGAATGAATCTTAAAAATATATTGAATAAAAAATTAAGACTAAAAAGAATATATACAGTATGATACTATTTCTGCAAAGCTTAAAAGCGAGCAAACAAGGATATATACTGTTGAGGGACACATAAATATGAGGTAAGAAAAGAAAAAGAGTAGGAAGAAAGTTCAGAAGAGTGGTTTCCTGGGTGGGAGCAGAGGTTGGAGAAGCAGCATACTGAGCTTCAATGGTTCTGGGTATGTTTTACGTCTCAGTGTGTGCAGTGGATTCAGGTGCTTTCTGTTTTATTACCAGGTTTTCTAATCTGCCATGTGTTAGATACGTTATTACATATGTACCAAATTCTTACATTAAGAAAAATTATGTCAAAATCTACCAATATGGTGAGAAACGCAACGTGCTGCATATGTACAGTGTGATCCTACTGTATAAATTAAAAACAGATCCTACTCTTTAATTTATAAGATCCTACTGTATGAATTTACAGGTCCTATGGTATGAATATTTTATATTATTTATGGATACATATCTATGTCCAAGTCTTTTAAGAAATTATCTGGAAAGATAAACCTAAATTCATGATAATGGTTATGAGAACAACAACGGATGAGGGAGAGTAGGGAGATGGGAGGAAATAGATGTAGAGATGGGAAATGAAGCAGAGTTAAATTTTATTTCTAGTGTTTGATTTCTCTTGTTTAAAAAAAGATGAAGTAAATAAAATCACAGTTATCCTAGTACATTGCAAAGGGCTGGAATATATTGAGAAGCAGTGGTGTAAGGGACTACAGTACAACATTCCTCCCCCATTGCCCCATCACCTCCTTCTCCTGAGACTGGCAATGAGGCACAGACAGAGTATATTCAGCCCAGATGACAATAAAGCTTTGGCAACAACAGCCTCTTGTTGCCAGACAGGCTCACTCACTCAGATGAATAACACACATGGTTACGCCTTGAGCTATAATTAAACCCAATACGAATAGATAACCTTATCAGAAGGAAGAGCTTAAAAGTAGAGAAAATTACAGGTTTATAGTTACAACATTACTTCAAGGTAGATGAATAAATTCAGTTAAAAAAAACACACAGGTGAGTGTATACAGCTATGAAATAACATACACAAACACATCTAGCAAATCCCAAGCTATAATTTCTCTGAGTCACTGTAAGAAATCTTAAAATAGCCTCCAAAGAATGGTAACCACAGTAAATTATAAGATACAGGCTAAATAAGGAGTCGCTACCAAATAGTGCGGCTGAGGAAGGGACTCCGAAGTAGAAGACGG